AATGTAGGAGAAATATCTATGTGCTGTCAAAGGTAAGAGAAATATCCAGGTTGAACCGGAGTGTCAAAATATTCTGTCAGTCTTGGGTCTGATTCTAAATTAAAGTAAGTTTAATTAGTGAACTAGATTGAGAATACAAAGAAAATGAGATGAAATCGGCAGACGATATGAGAACAGTTTATGTCTGCAGTTTATTTGTTGTAAAATTACCTTTGTTATATTGAATTTTATCTTGCTGTGTGGAATTTGTTCTTAGGTTATAAAAACATAATTGTACACAGCTCAATTAAGCTGAAACAGCAAAATCTTATACATGTCTGCTCAGAAATCGGCCCCACTATTTTCAAGAACCCTTTCTCCCAGATAAATATGCAAAAGAATGCAGTCTTACACAAATGTGTATTCTTCTACATCATAAATGCGTATTTCCTCTTTTTAGTACAAGATGTGCCTTATAACCCTACATTTCAACAGAAAATCATTGACCCAGTAGAGAGAAAGCAATTAAAAAACCCACAACTACAATTGCTTTATTTCAGGCAGTCTGTAGCATGTAGGTAATTTAGATTGAAACGAGACATTTGGTTTTCTATTCTATTTAAAAATATGTATTTTTACCAAATGTTGAGATAAGTTCCTTAAATGGAACCTGTTCTTCTGTTTTTGTATTTAAAAATCTCTATGGCCTTTGAAGCAACATTTATTTTGTTTCTTCTCCAAGAAAAAAATGCAGTCACCACTTATATCTACATTAGTTCTGTCAAAACAGTCTAACTGCTGTCATATTTTCTAAGACGTCTAAACTTCAGCTGTGCTGGTATTCATGCAATTGAAGCTTGTAACGTAGTTTTTGGATGGTTTTCATAAATACTGTATTAAGGAACCAACAAAATGGAGTTGTTGAATAAAGTGTAGACCTTCTTTTGTGTGTATCTTTTATTACAGTTACCTAATATGAAGTTGAGATTAAGGTCTTGGGAAATCTTATCAGGGAGTAAGACCATCTCAATGAGCACAAGCTCAGTCATTCTTATTCTATTTTCTGTCCTTTGTAGCAGCACATTTTTATAATTCTTGAGCTGGGACAGTATACTTATTTATTCATTCTTCTCCACTTTCTTATTTCTATAGGTACTCTTCAATTTATGACCAATATGGAGACTGAAATTTTCATCATAAGTCACGTCAGCTCCAAGATGAGGCACCTACTTGATCAGAACCAGTTTTATTACTTCTTTTGCAGTGGTCATTAAGTCAGTGGCACAGTCATTAATTGAGTACAGTGATCATTAAATGCTGTGGTCATTAAATAAATCAACGTATTCATCTAGGTGCAGTAAGCCGACCGTAAAGGTGAGCCAGTTGCCAAGTGCCCTAAATGCAGTCATATGACTATGGGGTGTCTGTGTACAGCAATTAGAATTCTGGAACTGGCTCATAAATAGCTTTTGGGGGCTCTGTTATAACTTTAAATGGTCATTAAATGATCAATTGCTAAATGAGGACTACCTGTATACAAGTCATTATATTGGGATTTGGGGGCCATTGAAATCAGTAGCCTAGTATTCAAGAAATGCTGAAATAATACATATTTAATGTATTAGACTTTCTTTCTTGAATGTAAACAAAAAACAAAAAAAACCCTTACCCAACAACTAACCACCACCAAAATAAAACCTGCAAAATAAAACCAAATATTTTAAATTCCTGAAAATTGAATTATACTTTAGTTGTGGCCTCCTTCATGCATGAAAGAGATGCTTTTGTTATTCCTCCCTTTTAAAAAGGCCCTGCTTCATAGAACCAAGCATGTCAGAAATCAGTTTCTGTATCTATACTGCAAAGCCTATTTGACTTTTATTAAGGTGACCAACTTTTTTACAATGAAAAGGAGGACACAAATAAATTGAAGAAAAAAATATCGTAAATACAGAATACACTATAATATGATAAATGCATAATACAAACATTTGTAACAATAATATTTTATATTGTAATTATGCTTACATGCCGTGCCCCCGCTCACAGCCACCCTGCCAGCACTGCTGCCCCGCTGTGTAGAGCAGGCCCCACGGCTCCCAAAGCATCAGCTGTGCCAGCTCCGGCCCTGGGGAGCAGCCCGCTGTCAATATACCCCGCCTGCAGCCACCCCGCCAGCACCACCTCCCACCCTGCGCAGCCCCGTGTAGAGCAGGCCCCACGGCTCCCACAGCACGGGGGGGCAGCCGGCCACCGCCGCCCCTCACACCCCTGCCCACAGTAGCCCTGCCACCCCTGCCTCTTGCGCCCGTAGCCATTATTGCCCTAGCAGGGCTGAAGATCAAGAGAAAGTTACTATGGCATTGCTGCTTCAGTCTCCTCCAGGTATCTTCGGGATTAACTAGGAGATGGTGTAGTTGGGTAGCAGAGAGGGGTGCAAAGTTCCTGCCAGTTCGCCTTTGCTGCAGACAACTTACATGTGCAAAGTTTGCCGTCTGGGTGTTTTGGCGTGCTCAGCAGCAATTCCTATTGGCTTTCAAAAGCCAATAGGAGTACCACAGCTCATGCAAAAGTTGGGAAAAAAACATCAAAAAAGGTGCCAGAACGCCTTTCTGAGTGTTCTATGAGAAAAAAAGCCCTGCAGATTAATCTTCAAATATTGAAAAGGAGGACATATAGGAGGACACTTTTCGAGGGAGGACAGAACTCACAAAAGGAGGACTGTCCTCCTTAAAGGAGGACAGTTGGTCACTTTACTTTTATTGAATCCCAATTTTGAAGTTGTCAAATTTAAATCAGATTGAGTCTGAAATATTGATAAATTTATTATCTCATTCTGATTTCTAAAATTTTCAGCCACTGGAAATCTTATCAGTGACTAAACACATTTACTCATTGCATTGTAGATAATAGCAGATAAATAGATAACTAGCAGAATTGTGAAGATGTTTAGAATGGGGTCCTGAGAATAGGCTATGACGCCTCAACACTAACATGGCACATCATTTTAATTTTCACAAAATGCTTTTTATTTTTGAAGATGTTATATATTTGTTTATCATATACTAAATATGCAAAATTAAATTACATATATATAAAATGAACTTCCCTTTCTCCTTCCCCATACTATAATTTGAAGAATTGCATAATATGTCTAAAAGAGAGGCTGAGATAGTTAAAGGCTGACAGATAAATTACAAATTTGTAGTTCTAGTGAAGTTGTATATTTAAAAATAGCCAGTGGGTAAATTGAAGAATTGGTGCAAATAATAGATATATGGGGTTTGGTGATAGGAAATAATTGTTCTATTCTACTCTGCCTTGGTCAGACCATACTTGGAATATTTTATACAGTAGTTTTGGCCATAACAAATTGATAATGTTTTTAGATTATTAATTCTGGCTATGTCTGGTCCATTGGAACGAGTGGATAATGCTGCCCTTGAAAGTAATGGAGATACTGTGACTCTTAGCATTGTAGTTCTGTGTCACAGTGGTCAGTAAACAATGTTAAAGAAACCATCTCTTAGTAGGATATGAGAATCAGTCTATATAAAAATAAGTGCCGCTGGGTTCCAAGAAATTATTCCCAATAAATATGGCTAGAGTACAGTATTAGATAGAGGTTACATATCATATTAAGACAGGACCTGGTTAACCTTTTTTGAATAAGCTGCGTTAGTTGAGTTTACACATCATATTAACCCTTAAGCCAAGATTATTCAACACAATGTATTTACATATTGCACTAAATTATAAATAAGCAATCCATGTGTTAGCATAACGTCTGAACCTGGCTTCAGACTTTCAGTGTTAGTACTGAATAATTATAAGGAAAATGTCTGTGGGTGTATGCGTGCATGCATGCATGCATGCGCGCGCACACACACACACACACACACACACACAGGGATTTTGCATACACATCTGCCTGCAGTCTTTCATATATACCAGAATGTAACAGAATGCAACAGTTTTGTGTTGGGTATTTCTGTAGTAAACTGGAGATTCTCTTTAAAAATGCAAAGCAGAAATATGGTTTATGATGTTCTTCCTAAGTTTGTAAGCAGATCCTAAAGCAATTTTATAGAGGTTTTTAATAGCTCAAAGATACCATTAATGTTAATTAGGAGGGATTGGCAGACCTGATTCAACCAGAAAGTTTACTAAATTACTTTGTTTATTCAAATACAGCTGATATTCCAATGATTCATCAAGCTTAGTATGTACATTTCCATTTTCTTCATTTTGCCTAGTGTTTTAGCATTCTTTATAGTATACAGTATTGTGGCTTTAAGATACAGCTACAGGTTTGGGAATCAAATATTTTCCTGGCTAGTGTAATCTTACTGAATTTCTTAGTTCTTAAGATTTTGAGGTAACTAGTTATTAATATAAAATGTGTAAAGTTTTTATTTTTATTAAAAGCTCAAATACACTCTATTATTGCAGTTTCTGCTATGTATTTCTAAATCTTTTGAAGCAAAACTGACTCAGGAGTCTCAATGTTTTATATTTATGGCATTTTTAAAATATGATTTTTTAAATGCTACTTTTCTAATGTTTAATTTTTCTGATTTAAAAAGAAAAATGAGAGATTTGGGATTAGCAATTTTTTAACTAAGGGAGGGGAGATGCAAGCTTGCATATACAGAATGATTTAAATATATTTATCTTAATCTTGTTCATGTATTAGTTTAAAGCATCAATCTGAAAAAAAAAAGATCAATAGCAAAATAGGACTTATTCCTTGGGAAGTGACATAGAGTTGATGTGTACATTTAGATGTCTCTTTAAATAAAGATAATAAAGTGAGTTTTACGAAAAACATGTTCATCTTGCCCGTTATTTTTTTAAATGTAAATATAGTCTGTGACATATTTAAGAGTATTATCATATAAACTACCATTACAAGGATTCAAAATTAATTCTAATGAATGAGAAAAATACATACATTCTACACTCTAGTTTTTATTTGAAGAAGAAATAGATCAAAATAACATCAGTAAATCACTCCATATTATGTAGCAAGGGTTTTAATGAAGTTAATAGAAGGCCCCAGTGCTGTACAATTCTGAGTTTTTTTAAAAAATACATTTTCTCATTTTAGAATGAGAAATCATTGTAGTTTTATTTGTACAACATACTAATCCAAAGTCAAATGAATAATGTTTACTGAATTAAACCAATTGCTAGTCTTTGCACAACCCACTGAGGTACGAAATAAATATACTTGCTAAATTCACACAACAGGTTAAACAGCAAATCAACCAATTACATTTTAACCTACAGCAAGGCATCAGGATACTGTTTACAGTATATACACGTGAGAGTACAAATTTGTCATAGAGTACAAATTCTGATTTTTTGGAGGCTTGATTAGAAATTTCATCATTTTTGTCACAAACACCTTGCTATTTCCTCAGAATCAAAGTCTATGGAATTATATAGAATACATAGTGCATGTCATGTGGAATTCTAACGAAATGGGTTTTCTCTCTTTCTAAGAAAGCTGCACATATATGGGTTAAAGAAGAAAAATCCCATGAAATAGTATAACTTTCTTTGTGGCAACATTAAGTTCAGATTTCTAATAATGAGGAAAAAATACACTGAAAAACTAATTGCATTTCATCATTTGGCTGTCCAAATAGGATGCTCTGTTAAAGAAAGATTTACTACAGGAACCAGGAGAATTTTATTTTGAATTTTGCTATTTCCCCCTTACCAGATGGATGTCCAAAGTGCCATTACTCTTTGTGTCCTAGATTCATGTGTTAGAGCTTGAAGCGCACAGGAATCTGATACATTTTGCTTGGTAGCAAACTGGAAATGAAAAATAGTATTGATGCTGGATGGGAATTTAAGTTTCATTTGAGTAATTGATAAGTTCTGGACCTGAGGTCCTTCATGTCTAAGCTCCTTGAAGTGCTCTTTGGGTTCCCTTTGTATGTGGTGAACCTGTAGCAAGTTCCAGCATATCTCCAGTCTCTAATATTGACTCATATGAAAAGAACAGAAAATTTGGCAACACTATGCTGGGAGACGTGGACACAAGGACAAACCTCATTATAAATCTATATTGAGCAGTTGTTGCAATGTCTAACTGCTTAGGAAGCTGAGCCCCCATAGTTATTCTCTTCCTAGTTTTCAAGCTCATATTTTTTCATGGCTTGAAAGAAATGTGACTTTTGTGATTTTACACAAAGGAACTTTGCTAAAGTTGTTTTTATATTACTATATTACTAAAGCCTTTGTATTCCAGCGTTTCAATCTAGCAAGCACACTAATTGGCAATGCTGCCTAGTTGGAGTGATAGTCCAACACATCTAGTATCTTTGATGCTGGTTAAGGCTGGGGCCATAGGCAGTAAATAAGTCAATCTTTCCATGGCTTACGGCATTACATTTTCAAAAATCAATGTATTATTTTTCTTTTGCATGTCATGAGTGACATATCCCGTCCAGAACAAAACAGCTTTAGCATCTTGGCTATATTCTCCAAGTCACTGCTGTTATGTTGCTGCATTACCATCTTAGTCATCACAACCTTTGAAGTCTTGTTCCCAGGCAGGTTTGTGAGGAAAGTTTATTTACACATTTATAAAAGCCAGTGAGATAGATTGAAAAAAATATATAAGGAGACTGCAGCTTTTGGTAGTGAAGGCAGGTCCATTCTTGTTCAGTACTGTTTCAAGTTGGCCTTGGGTCAATCCCTCTGAGGTGACTGCTTGTGATTAGCTTTTGCTCATCAACATGATTCAGCATGGTTATACTGAGGCATTTTTCAAAGGAAGTCAGTGCCTGTAGGGAAAAATGTTATACAGTTTTTACAGATAGCATTTCACATACAGATGCACCATGCACACACATTATGCTACTTTTTACAAATTGCCACAAATGCTTCACTTGACAGAATTTTGTCATCTCCTCTTATATCGTGTCTTTTGATATTTGATTAAGCTACTATTGTACTTAGAGTTGTGACTCAGGCAAACTTTGCTCCTGTGAGCTCTTTCTCTTCTTCAACACTCTATGAAGTTTTGCTGACTTGCAATTTAATAAAGCAGTTATAAAGAGCCAGTAGCAAGGTCCTCAGCTACAGGAGCAATGGGTGCTCCATTGAAAGACCAGGTTAAGCACAGATTGTCATGAAAAAAATGTACTGTATCTGTGCAATTGCTAAGAATTGACCACAATTTGATGGTATGTAATCATTTAAAAAGAAAGAGCAATCAAGTAATTAAAATAAAAATGTTTCCTTCTGAAATATAGGTTTAAACAAGCATTAAAAAAACCAAAGTGAAATCCTGAAAAAACCATCTTGGTTAACTTTTATGCTTTAATTGTGCACTGATATTAATAGGTCTTGGCAATAATATTTTGGCTATGTTTCAGTGATTTCCCTTTATCTTATACCTAATGCATGAGTGTGATAGGCTTAAGTCAGTCCTATTTGTATTGGTATTAATGTCTCTACTTCCCCCAACAGTTATAAAGTGTGTAAAATCTATTATACTTTGCCAACTATTGTGTCTTTAACATACTGCACAGCATAATCAGCACAGCAACATTTGACATTGACTCAGTATTATAAAGGCAGGAAAATGTGGAACAGCCAAATTCATGCCAGTATACTTTTCTATCACCCTACATAAGAATAGGTAAATAGCAGAGAATGATAATAAATCAATCAATGCCAACCCTTGACTATTTGTTACCAGCCCATGAACAATTGGGTCTTTTAAGTACATCTGAAGAAGTGAGCAATAATTCATGAAAGTTTGCACCTTTTAATAAAATTTATTAATTGGAAAAACAGCTATCAGACTTCTGATTGTTGGCATAGTAACATGACTCTCCTCCTATAATAAAATAGGCTAGGTAATTACTGAAGATTTATGAGAACAAGAACAGATCTTACAAGTACTATAAATATAAAGCCACTGATCTTTGTTAATAGTTAACTTTGTTAACAATTTTCAGGATTTGGGAATCAAATTTATAAACTGGAGAGAAGACATTTTTCCCCAGATAGATTGGACTTCAATTCTTATCACTCTCAGTTGCCATGTTAGTGACTGGCCAGGATGATGATAATTGTAATTCAGAATATCAAAGGGATTTGGAAGAAGGCTGAGGGAAGGGATGTGAAAGAATCATAGACATTGCACTGTTAATGTAACTCTCATCAGAAACTGCAAAAAATAGAAGGCAACCTGCTTATCACAAAAAAGTCACATTTTATAAATAAGATGAAAGGTAAATTAGGACCTCTTGCAAATATCTTTCCAAATGATAGTATGCCAGTCATTGCACTATGTTCTTTTTCATGGTATGCACACTGGTTATCATTTAATGGATGTTCCTGTTTTTTTCGTGAAGCTTCAGTGAATCACTTATTTACCCCTTGATGACTAACTCTGCTACAGTTTGGTCCATGGACTTGTAGATCCTCTTGCCTCTGGCAGGGAAGTGACCTGATCATTCCCAGCTCAGTGCTGATTGCCTGCTGTGGGCTTTGTACCATTTCCCCTGTGGGATTAACAGATCTAGATGAACAGAGGTTAAATTGTTTTAGTTTGAAATAGGTTAAAAGGAAGACGTGCTTGCCTGATACTCTGACAAGTCAAATGAAATTACAGCTCTGAGCATTGGGAAAGAATGAAAGAGCAATCTTGATTTTCCTGTTTAATCATCCCTGTGTACAAACATTGTTATCAGGCTTTCGCCTCTGTTAAATGTCAGCAGCAATACACTCATTTTTCTATACACTACTTTGCTTCATTTGCTAAGTAAAAATAGGTGGATTAGGGCAGTCCTGGAGGTAACACCCCAGAGAAAATACATTTATATTCCTTTTAAAAAACAATTATGTTGTCAGGAAATAAGTTGGGAAGTTTTCACTTCTCCTTTCTCTCAAAAAACATGACGTGGCACCCAGTAGTCAAAGGCAAGTCATCTCCATGAACCTGCTGGCATATATGTGGGAAAAAGAACTAGTATAGGAGAGAGGCTATTGTTGCCCAAGTCTCTTACATACAGTAGTTAGCATCACTACGAGAAGATACAGAATCCTGCTTTAAATTCTTCAGTTTCTATATATCTAAAACCCATCCATTAGTTGTTTGCCCTGTTGGCATCACTAAAAAAATATGGGAAGTGATAGTAAATGTTGACCTTCACTTTACATTGTGAAAACTAAATAGGAAACAGTGCAATCTTAGGAGAGACTTCTTAGAAAGAACATTATGTTATTTTAATTTTTGTGACACAAATGAATTCCCTAAATCAGTGGTTCTCAACCTTTCTAATGCCGTGACCCTTTAATACAGTTCCTCATGTTGTGGTGACCCCCAACCCCCCATCCAGTTGGCTGGGGAGGGGGGCAGGAAGGCCACTCCGCCGGCTCCACCCAGCCTGGTTGGAGAAGTTCCATTCCTCTCCCTCTTTCTCTCTTTCTCTCTCTCTTTCCTCTCTCTCTCTTTCCTCTCTCTCTTTCTCTGTTTCCTCCCTCTTTCTCTTTGTTTCTCTCTTTCCTCTCTCTTTTCTTCTGTTTCTCTCTCTTTCCTCTCTCTCTTTCTCTCTCTTACAGCAGCATCAGTGGGGGTCCCCACCACCCCTGGCCTGGCCTCCACTGCATCCTCAGCCGAACGGGCAGGGAGGGGGAGCAGGACGGGAGACAGCGGCTCTGGTGGCGGTGGCAGCATGGCTACATCGTCAGGGGTCCCCACCACCCCCAGCCTGGCCGCCGCCTCCGCCGGGACTCCGCACTGCCTGACCTTGCCCTCTGCCCATCGATGGAGCCACGGTGGGGACAGCGCCCATCCAAGCTGCTTGGGGGGCAGCAGGAGGAAGAAGGAGAGGAGGAGGGCAAGGAAGCAGCCGTCGCAGCCGGGACTCCATGCTGCCCGGCCTTGCCCTCCGCCCATCAATGGAGGTGCAGTGGCGTCTGGTGCCACATGGCCCCTGCCAGCCCCTCTGCCAGCCCGGCTGCTCCCCCCAGGCACCCCTCTTGTCCCGGCGCCTGCCTGAGCCACCTGGGAGGCAGCAGGAGGAAGAAGGAGAGGAGGAAGAGGAGGGCAAGGAAGTCGTTGCCAGTGCCGAGCCCTAGGAGGAGGCACTCCTACCATTGCTGCATCTCCTTCTTCCTTCCCGACAGCCTGGACTCCAGCGCGCCTTCCCGGCCAGCGGGGCCAATGGTCGGGCTGGCTGGGGATCGCAGGGGCTGGTCTCCCTTGGGCTGCGGCTTGCGGGAGGGCTGGCCCACTCAGCGGAGCCTCCAGCGGGCTGCTCCCAGCCAGGATCCCAGGGCTTCCCCAGGCAGCTCCAAGGCCACGAGGCCCTGGCCACGCTTCTCCCAGGGGATGGGGCACCTGGGCACAGGGCCAATCAGGAGCCCTGCAGGAGGTAGGTCCGCCTGAGAGAGAGAAGGGAAGCAAAAGTGCCTCTCTGTCTCTCTTTCTGCTAATGGCGGAGGAGGCCATGCGGAGACGGATGCGGAGTGGTGTCTCAGTTCCTAAGACCATCGGAAATATGTGTTTTCCGATGGTCCTAGGTGACCCCCGTGAAAGGGTCATTCGACCCCCAAAGGGGTCACGACCCACAGGTTGAGAACCGCTGCCCTAGATGCTCTTGCCTTCTAAAGTAACTTAAGGTTTGTGTTCAAGAGAAACGAATTGGACATCAGTGATGTTTCTAGAATTAATTTAAACAAAAACAGAAAGAATTCACAGTTACATTTGATGGTTCCTCCTTTTTCATTGTGCCATATAATACATTTTTAAATACCTACCTTTTGCTCTATCTGTGCATATTCTGACCTTCAGAGACTTCTTTACATGAAAAGTTTTTTGTAACCAGTCCCTTGTATCTTACAGAAATACATGTAAAATAGAGTCTTTATTTTATATTTTTACATTTTTGTCATGTGCCTGCAACTCTTAAACTCTGGACAATCTAGAACAGAGTAAAAATATAAAAATTAAAAGAAAAAGTAAGGTATACAGAGAAATCCTTTAAACAGTGACCAGAACTTTTCAGTGTGGTTAGTAGTCTTTTAATGGAATCTTTCAATGTTTCTGGGACTTACTTTCTTTTTAAATAATTATTGCCAAATTATTAAAATGGTTTTATTTTACTATGTTTTTTAAAAACACTTCCTGAGTGCCACCCAGCAGGAAAAGCTTTATTATTCTATTATATCATTATAATAATATCAATCATGCAAGCATCAACTTGTCTGTGGAGCTAAATTCTATTTGGCTCATACCATCAATTTGCTTAGCTCATTTAAATTGATTACTGTTTGTTAAATTTTATTTCTAAAGTTTCTATCATACAATTTCTCTAGGCGTTACAGAATTTAGACAGTACTCCTTCCATTTTCCTCCCATAAAAACTACTGGGCAATGTGGAATTGATTCAGTTATAGTGTTTGCCCCAAATAAGTAAATGAACTTCCATAGCTATATTGTTATTAATGCCGGCAATTATATTTATGTTTAATTGTTGGATTGTCAGATTCTGATAAATTAAATTGATATTTATTATTTTTTGTTACATTTATGTTCTACCTTTTGTAGCTATACATAATTCTCTCTCTCTCTCCCTCCCATGTTTTTCTCCAGCAATAATTCTTGATTGAACTCTCCCAATGTCTGTCCAATACCATAATCACAGTATAGCATGCTAGCTATTCAAAACAGCTGGAAAGACTGAGAGAGCACTTGTGATTTTCCTATTTAGTCATCTTTGTACCCAGATACATTTATCTGGACATTATCTGGCTTTTGTTTTTCTTCAGTGGCCACTATGACATTGAACCAATTAAACCTTTAGTTATTTAATCTTTGAGGATTAATTTTAATTATTATGGTATAATTGGGTTAAAGTGGTTGACTTCTGGGGAAGCTGTTTTGTAACAAGGAATGAGAAAAGAGACTGCTAAATATGGCCTTTGTGACAAAACGCCTCTATTTAGTCTTACTAATTTTATTGGAGATATTAAATATCTGTTTAATTTTCTACTGAAATCAGTGAACTCTCAAAATATTAACTTTGGCTAGATTGAGCCTGACTAGGCATAACTTTTATTAACTGATAATTTATTTAGCCTTTTCTTGTAAACAAGTTGGTAAATAAAATTGAAACATGTTAAAATGTAGGAAAGCTGTATTTAATTATGGTGGTACAACATCAGGAGGAGTCTGATTGAAAGGCATAAGCTTCCTCAGGCTATAGCTGATTTCACAAGATATATAGAATGGCCTGATCGATATAGGATCTAAATTGGGAAGGGGGGGGGGAGGAGGCAGGTTGGTTATGCAAATACAGGTTCCATATGGTGCAGATTAGAAGTACCTTATCAATTAACAATTGTAATGTGTTAAAAACTCATTGTGTATGTTGAGACATTTTGAGATAAAGTTCAGCAATGTCTTGCTCAATTGTGTTGTTAAAATCCTTTTTTTCCCAAAGTGATCATTTTGAAATCTGCAAAACAGTGGCCTGGGAGGTTGAAATGTTTTGGTACTACTTTGACCTTGTTTTGAATCCTGATGTCAAACTTGTGTCAATTAATTCTTTTATACAAAGTTTGTGTTGTTTATCCTATGTAGAATCCAGAGGGGTGGTAGACTTCTTTAAATTTACTAAATGTTATATTTGTTTACATTTTTTTCTTGTCTTCCAAGAATTTAAGGGAATATTCATGATTCTTCCCTCTCTCCTATATATTTTATAACAGCCTTATGAATAAGTTAAGTGAGAGACAGGGAGTGGCCCTGCCCAAAATGAAGCTATGTATATCATAACTGAGTTAGGATTGAACTTTATTCTTCTTAGTCCTGCTTCAAAAGCCTAAATGAATGTGGATCAAAGTAATTACTTAATTAGATAACTTTATTTAAAAATTCTTAGGTAGTTAACAGTCCTAAAATACCTTGTTATATAACCAAATCACAATCTCTTATTAAACCCTCTAATTTAACCCAGAGCTTTAAACTTTCACAAATCCTAGACAGCTGACCATGATACAATATGAAGTTATAGCAATAGTAATTCATATGATTATGTTCATAAATATGGGTGTACTTCACAGAAAGAAAGAGTTAGAACCTGCAGTTCAGGTATTAGAGCTCATTTAAAGTCTCATGAACAAATAGGACATCTGCAATAGATGACAAACCAGTGAATAAGCCTAGGTGAGGGAGGAGAATAATGAGTAGGAAAGCACTTTTAATTCTTGGGCCTATCTTCTATTTGTTCTGCTTAAAGCAAAGGCTGTCATTTACTAACCTAACAAACCACTTTTATACAGAGGGAAGCATGTAGTGGGGTATCTCAAGGTTCTGTCTTAGGCCTCTTTAACATCTCCATAAATGATCTAGATGAGGGGATAAAAGGGGAACTCCTCAAATTTGCAGATGATACTAAGCTGGGGGAATAACCAACAGTTTAGATGATAATCTCAAGACTCAGAAAGATCTTGAGTGAGCCCTACTCATTTGCGTTTGCATTCCAACAAAATGCAATTCAGTGATGACAAAAGTAAGGTCCTATATATAAGCAAGAAAACCCAAATGCACAGATATAGAATAGGTGGTACCTGGCTCAATATGTGCTGCAGCTGCCAAAAAAGCAATGCATTCCTAGGTTGCATCAACAGATGGATAGTTTCAAGGTCATTGAAGTGATAGTACCACTTATGTTGCACTGGTGAGACCACCCTTGGAATACTGTTCTGGAGACTATGATACATGAATAATGTTTTAACCCAAGAAAGAATGTAGAGAAGAGCATCAAAGATGATTAGGGGTCTGGAGCTAAACCATATGATGAACAATGGAGGGAATTAGGTAGATCTAATCTAATGAATAGATTAGGAGATGATATGATAGCTGTCTTCCAGTAGTTGAGGGGCTGTCACAGAGAAGAAGAGATCAACCTACTCCAAATTACCTGGTCAGGATAAGAAGTAATGGGTAGAAGATCATTAAGAGAGATCCAACCTAGACCCAAGGAGAAATTTCTTGACAGTGAGAATACTTGGTCTGTAGAATGGCTTAATAATAATAATAGTAGTAGTAGTAGTAGTAGTAGTAGTAGTAGTAGTAGTAATAGTAAAGTTGGAAGGGACCTTGGAGGTCATCTATTCCAATCCCCTGCTCAGGCAGGAAACCCTATACCATTTCAGACAAATGGCTGTCCAGTCTCTTCTTAAAAACCTCCAGTGTTGGAGCATTAGCCGCTTCTCGAGGCAGGTTGTTCCACTGGTTAATTGTTCTAACTGTCAGGAAGTTTCTCCTTAGTTCTAGGTTGCTTTTCTCCTTGCTTAGTTTCCACCTGTTGCTTCTTGTCCTGCCTTCAGGCACTTTGGAAAATAGCTTGACTCCCTTTTCTTTGTGGCAACCCCTGAGATATTGGAACACTGCTATCATATCCCCCCTCGTCCTTCTCTTCGTTAAACTAGACATACCCAATTCCAGCAGCCGTTCCTTATATGCTTTAGCCTCCAGTCCCCTAATCTTCTTTGTTGCTCTTCTGTGTACTCTTTCTAGAGTCTCAACATCTTTTTTACATCACGGTGACCATTACATTGAAAGTTATGGGTGCTCCATCACTGGAGGTTTTCAAAAAGAGGCTGGAAAGTCATTTGTCCAGAATGGTCCTGCTTCAGCAAGGGGGTTGTACTAGAAGATCTCCAACGTCCTCTCCAACCCAATTATGTCATATGTACCTAAGAAGATGAGCTGATCTCTCTACTAGAATTTATTATTTTGTCAACATCTGGCTAATTTGCAAACCACACAATGTATTTGTGGTCACACATATTCATACTATATCAGCCTCGCAGTGTTTTTCATTTTATTTTCATTATAATAAAAATATAAATGTAATGAGTATTATGAGCATTAAGGTTTTGCAACCTTCGGTGTTCTCTCTCCCCCCCCTCCCTCCCGCCCTCTCCTTATTAATAGGACAGCTGTGAATACATGAGCTATACTTTATGATAAATGACCCATAAGATTTCATGCTTCTTCCCAGATTGTAGCAAGATAGATAAAGGTGCATATTCCTCATAAGATCTAAATGGTAAATCATATACATCATATCTATAATATTTCAATCATCTTTTCTTCCTGATTCAGGGGAAAAGCTTTGTATTTTGCATGAATGCAGTATTTGTATTCTCTTTATTGAAGTAGTAATTTTTATAGGCTTTAAGGCCAGCTTGGAAAAAATGCAGTTTCTTTAAGATGTCAATTCCTGAAATTAATACAACCACTAAAGCTGCTATGCTTCTTTTTAAAAGGCTTATGCTTTAGGGTCATTATTTGATGCAGGACCAATGGGTACATCTTGGGAGTTAAGAGTAATCTTGGGTGAGACTCTTTGCTGCAAAGGCAGTTTTTGGCACTGCTTCATTTGATTTTATCAAGTTGCTGCATGATTGTCCAACTGCAACTTCATGTTTTCCTTTGGACTTAGGCATAATTGATTTAAATACATGTCCTGAACCTAAACACTACTTGGCATCAAAATGCTATATAAATAATAAAAACACAATTCATAGGAGTATGAATATCCTCAATATCTTGCTTTTCTTAAAATGATGAAAGCAAGTTCTGTCTCTTTTGGATATGCTGTGGCGTAACGATATATGTACACAAATTCTTGGGCTTGTATTGCAATGGTTCAAGTTGCTTTCATCAGGCTGACCTGTTGACCTCTGGAGATGTCATTGCCCAGGAAAATAAAGTTTAATGACTATTCTGCTCTTCCAGAGTTAGTCATTGGCCAGCCTTTTTAATATAGTTCTTTCTTTTGCAGATCATAATGTGCAAATACCCAGCCAGATTGTAAATTTTTTTTTAAAAAAATACCCCTTTGTTGAAAGTGTCCTTGTGTCACTGATTTTTTCATATGAACCTTTTTAACTGACTGTGCTTGTATTATTTCTGTGGATAGTCTGTGTAACTGAAAAGTTTCAAACTCTCTTTTTGGCAAAGATATTAGTCAGCTAAACTGAAAGCTGACTTCATACAAGAGTTATTTAAATTATCTTGTCAATTCAGAAATGGCTTCTTCTGTTGCCTCTCACTTGTACAGCACTTTGAGAATTTTGTCATGAAAGGCTATGGGCTGTCATATTGCTATCTTTAGTTACTGGAAACTTCTACTACTACCCACCTTTGGGGCTTTGGATTTGAGCCACATTGATTGCCTCTGGAGCAGGTGCCAAGTTTTTTCTTTGGCTATCTTTGGATGAATACATCAGCTTCCCATCAGACAGAGGAATGCCATTGAAATACAGTAATATGATTGTGAAATGTCTAATATGTACTGTATATTCCTTACCAACACTGATGCCATATCCTCTCACCATGGTGACGTTGTCTTTTAAAATGCTTTGCATTTCCTGGATTAGCCACAGGAAATCAGAAACACATTTGTCACTATGTTTTTTTCAGTAAGTATATGCAGTAGCTTCTGCAGGGAAATACAAGGAAAAAGTTCTGTAATAAAAAGAAAATAATAATGTTGCTTTTCTATACACTTATTTTCTGCCTAGTAAGAGAAGAAGGATTTTCCAAAAACCTTTGTTAATTCTTGTATGACATTGCATATATTTATATCTATCCATATATCTATGTCTATATATGTAATGTTTATGTAAAAATTGTAAAATTTTATTCACACAGTAAAAACCAGCTATAAATCTATGGATGAGAGGGAAGGGCTTTTTGGAAATTGGACTTTCTTTGTAATCTAAATAGTACTTCAAAGAGATTTTGGTCATATGAAGGGGTAGGGAGGGAGAAATAAATTTCCTCTTTATAATTGTCCCAATTGCTCAGGCTACTTCATCATATGCCAGTTTCATTTGTCCCTGAGAGTTTGGCACAATCTCCTGTACCCATGGATCCAGTGAGCCATCTTCCCTCCCCTTTTCTTGTTTCTGTTTCCTAAAAACACATCATGCCAAACCAATCTTATTTTATTCTTTGACAAAGTGATTAAATTAGTAGACCAGTGAAATGCTGTGAATATAGTATGCTTAGACTTCAGCAAAGCATTCAACAAAATAAACCACAATCTACATCTTTGTAAGCTAGAAAAATGTGGGATAGATAGCATCACCACTAGATGGATTTGTAACTGGCTGACAAACCATACTCAATGAGTTGTCCTTATTACTACTTCTACATTGAGGGAAGTAAGCAACAGGCTATCATAAGGTTTTGTCTTAGGCCCAGTACTCTTCAATATCTTCATAAATGACTTAGATGAGGGAATAAAAGGAGATCACATCAAATTTTCAGATGACACTAAGTTCGCAGGAATAGCCAAAACCCCAGAAGACAAGCTCAGGATCCAAAAAGATCTTGACAGACTTGAAAATGGGCCCTATACAACAAAATGAAATTTAATGTAGAGAAAAGCAAGATTGTGCACTTAGGCAGGAAAAAACAAAAGTACAAGTAGAGATTAGGTGAAACCTGGCTCAAAAACATAACTATGTGAGGGACCTAGGAGTCACAACAGCAGCCAAAAAAGCTTGCAATCATTGGTAATATAAACAGAAACATAGAATCAAAATTACATGAAGTATTAGTACTGCTTTGTAAAGCCTTAATAAGGCCACACCTGGAATACTGGATCCAGTTTTGGTCACCACATTACAAAAAAGATGTTGAGAGTTTGGAAAAAATGCAAAGAAGATGATTAAAGGCCTGGAGACTAAAACATGTGAAGAACAATTGTAGGATTTGAATATGGCTAGTCTAGAGAAAAGGACTGGCGGGGGGGGGGGGGAATATGATAGCAGTATTCTAGTATTTGGCAAGTTGCCACAAAGAGGAGAGCATCCACTTATTTTCCAAAGCAGGACAGGAAACAATGTATGGAAATTAATGAAGGACAGAAGCAACTTGGAATTAGAGAAACTTCTTAATAGTGAGGACAATTAACTAATGGAACAGCTTGCCACCAGCAGTTGTGGGTGCTTCATCACTGGAGGTTTTTAAGAAGAGACTGACAGTCACTTGTCTGAAATGGTATAATAAGGTCTCCTGCTTGAGCAGAGGGTTGGACTAGATTAGAAGACCTCCAAGGTCTCTTCCAGCTCTATTCTGATTGATTGAGGATCTGGTCAGATAGAGGAGCTCTGTGATCTACCTGCCATTAATCCTGAAGTATAAGTCTTCCTATGAAAGCATGTTTAGAACAACAAAAATTAAGAGTGGGGAGGACTCGTGCATTTGGGTTTTTAAAAATACAAAAACACTTTTGGATTCAACTTCTACAATAACAGAATAATGGCTGTCTTTAAATTGTGCCCAAATAAGTTTCCCCATGAGAAAATTATATTGAGAAAATGAGATTCTGCAGTTGGGATTAAATACCACAAAGTGCCTCCTTCTGTCATATTTATTTGTCTATTTACAGTATTTATGTTCTAGTTATTCATCAAGGAAGTGAGATTTACATTCAATTATTTTACAAATATTTTTGAGAAGTGGTAACCTAAGATATAGTGGCTTGAAGAAAGACTTTCATGATTTGTTTTGGTATATTTCCACCCCAATGCCCCACTGTTGAAGGATATGTGTTAGGATGCCAATATTCAAATTGTATTCGCAGCTCCCCGTTTTGATTTATTATTTGGTTTGTTCCCTGCAGTCTTATAAACATTCTGTAGACTTCTCTTAAAGGGTTACTATGTGATCCACACTAATCCACACTTATTTACCAGAAAATGCTTAATAATTAATTCAAGAGTCCCATAACTCATGCAGCTAAAGAACCTTTACAAACAGATATTTGTGAAAGTATTTTATGTGGCTGGTTTTAGATACAACTAAAATTGAATCTTAGTGAACAAATTCTTTGAAGTGTCCTGAAAGAAACTAGTTTTCCAGAAGTGGATAAAGAAACGTGCCAAATGTCAGAAAAGCAGCGGCAGAAAAATTAATCTGGAAATCTAGAAGTATATTCCTGCAGAATTGTATGTAACCCAGAACAGCTTTATTATTTTGAAAGCTGATGACATGATCTTCTGATATTTTGAGATGGAAACCCTCAAAAATACTAGCATAAATCTCTAAAATTAGTTTATCATAACAATTGTGTGTTTTTTTTTAAAAAACAAGATAAAAGACAGACTGAGTCCTGCTGATATTATCATGCTATCCACTTATTACCTCCAAAATATTAAGAGCAGTGCCTCCCCATCAAATAATCGTCCATTCCTGCTTTTTAAATATATTCTAATCTGGCAATCTCCCATTGGAGTTTTAATCTAAATTCAAATGCATTTTCTTACTTGCCATAATTTCACCATTCAGTATTTTAGGTGAGGCAACTATTAAGCAAACTATTTCCCCCATGGAAGTGAAGATTAAGCCTTCAAACCATTCTTTTTTTTTATTGGACTTCTGTTCAAGATAAAATCTCTCCTCCAACGCGCTACACGTATAGTTCTAGAAGCATTAAAAACAGATTTCTTTGATCTGTTACTTTTTGCTGAAAATGGGCAGTCACAATTCTGGGAGTTTAGTCTCAATACAATTAAATGATGCCAAACTGGAGAAGGCTGGATTAAAATACAGTAGGAAACATGAGAACACAGCTATTCTGAGACCTTATTGTACATATTCCAATATTATAGATGGTTTTTTCTGAAGTATAAGATATTGCTTTTTTCAGAGTTATATTATAAGGTCATTGAAGGTTATGGGAATATTAGATGAAACATTCTTGTGTTTCAGCAGCATAACCAGAGGAATATTTATCAGTTCAGCACTTCAGAATAAAGCCTAGGTGGATCTGTTGAATGGATCCACCCAGTGTGTTTATTCTCATGAACTAGAGGAGTTTTTCTGGTATAACATGCATCCAAAGCATAAAAAGGGTTTAACCATTACTATTAGCACTGCTTCTGCTGATCTGTCAGACTAAAACGCCTAGCAATTTCATTTGATGACTATGCCTCATCTTCAAAAGTTTGTTTTCAAGGCATGTAAACTTCTGTGGATTCATAGTAATATTTGCCAGTTCTCTCCCCCCCCCCTTGACTAGGGCTTCTATTGTGTGCTTGTTTAATGACTAAGACATTCCCTGTAATTAGCCTAGGCTGACCAAGAATTCACAGGAAAGCACTCTTCAAATATTTGAAGAGCACTCACAAAGCAGAAGACAAAGAGGTGTTATCTGGAAGGCTGGAGTAGGTGTAAGATTTAAGATACAGGTTGATAGATTTCCGCTGAACTTTAGAAGAAGCAGGCAAATAGTAAGAATACTTTGGCAGTGTAACCAATAGTGAAATATTGTGGCAAACTCTCCCTCACTGGAGATGGCTGGCTGGACAGCCATAAGCACCCATGCTAGAATGCTGTAAATCTGATTTTCTGCATCAAACTCTGGATTAGATTAGATTGTCTAAACAATTATTCCAGTGACAAGATTCTAAGAATTAAAGATTAAATCATGCTAAAGCAGGGGTGTCAAATTCGCAATGTCACATGACATGTTGCGACATATCGCAACTTTTCCCCCATTGCCAGCAATGGGGTGGGCGCGGTTTTGGCGTGATGCATCCGGCCCATGGGCCAGCAGTTTGATGCCCCTGTGCTAAAGGATTTTTTTTTTAAACTGCTTTTATTTACATTGTCACTTAGGATATTTTACAACTGAACCTGTGAAGAAGGAGAAGTTATTCACAGCTAACAAAATTAGCCCATTAATGAGACAATGATAACATAGTGGAATCCTGTTTTGCAGTTCCTACCATTGCTGAAATCTAAATTAAAAGCTAATACTGCATGAAGGAATATTTTGCTTTGATGAACCTTTGAAAAAAGTGTCTTGCTTTTAAAACTGTAGCAATAGCCAAACAAGACATGGTGGCCCACCTCAGTCATTAAACTGAAGCTAGTGAAGTTTCTCACTTTTCCATAATATGGTGTCTCTTTATCCCAGAAAGTGGATAATTGGAATTCACATTTACTTATTCATTTGTACACCATTCAGTGAAAGTCTTTGAGGGAAGATTAATGTCCATATTCACCTGTTGGGTTTTTGTGAATTGCCAAGTGCCTTCATTTTAGTGTGGTCAAATCTTTCCAGCTTACTGGCAATTTTCTGCAATTTATTGAGTTTCTGTTAGACATTTTCTGAATTAACTTTGCTATATCATGAAGTCAAATGTACCAATTAACCTGAAAAGTTTAGGGAGTCTGGTATTTGATATTGTACCTTCAAATTATTGTCAGCTATTAGTGACCACATAAATAGAATTCATCCAGAATGATCCATTCCCAACATGGACCTTCAGATTTCCCACAATGCATCTGAAGGGCCAGGTTGGAAAAGATATGTCTGTATGGTCACTAAGAATCCCCAATGACTTGATGGCACATATCAAATCAATAATTTTTATTATGAGACATGTACTGACAATTTTATTTCAAATGTTTTCAAACTATAGT